CCACAATTTATTCGGCCACTCGCTTGATGGGCATTTATGTTGTTGCCTAGTTTTCACTTACCGCACCCTGAGGTCTTCCTAGACTGTACCTTGATCTGATACTTTTCGTTACTGATTCAATTTTTTTAATGTTTATTAGTCTTATTCAGATTTTCTATTTCTTTTTGCATCATTTTGTTATCTATGTTTTTCTAGAAAAAAAAGTTTTATTTCAATTGCTTATTGCCATAGAATTGTTTATATTATTCACTATCATTTCCCTTTCTTTTATATTTTATAGTCATCTTTATTTGTGCCTCCTCTTTTTCTTTTCTTTTCTTATTTTTATTGATCTTAGAGGGAAAAAGGAAGGGGAGAGAGAGAGAGAGAGAGAGAGGAGGGAGAGGGAGGAACATCAGTGTGAGAGGAACATCTATCCGTTGCCTTCCACACACACCCTAACCAGGGGTAGAACTATGACCTTTTGGTATTGGGGCAATGCTCTAAACAGCCAGGGTGCCTCCTCTTTTTCTTATGATCAGTCTTGCTAAAGGTTCATCTCTCTGTTAAAGTTTTAAAAGAACTAGCTTTTTGTATCATTGGTCTTTTTTCCCATAAATTTCTGTGGGGTTTTTGTATTTTTATTATTATTATTTTTTTTTTACTTCTTTGGGGGGCTTACTCTGTTATTGTTATAATAACAATGGTTTGTTGTTGGGGTTTTTTTTGGGTTTTTTTTTAAGCCTCTTTAGTGGAGTGAAACTACTTATATTGTCTCTTGCTTTTTCATCATTGTGTTTAGAGCTGGCAGTGTCCCTATAAGAACTGCAGGGTAGCCGCATCCCACAGATTTTCATTTGTATACCTTTGTTGTTCAGTTCTAGATAATTTGCATTTCTGTTGTTATTTTCCCTTTAGTCCACAAATTAGTTAGGAATGTGCTTTTCAGTTTCCACACATGTCTGCGTTTATTTTTATTTCTTTGTGGTCAGAGAATGTGGTTTATACAATCTTAATTCCTTGGAAAACCTAAACCGTACCTTTCAGAGGTTTCATCCCAGCTTATGAATAAGGCCTCAGAACTCCCACCACCTTTGCCTCAATAAATAAACGTACCAATGAAATTGATGGCCGTTTGGTATCAAGCTAAGATACCAAACAGATGGCTCTGCATTTCCTAAAAATCCAGACAAGTTGAACCTGGAGAAGAAAATATTGAGCATCTCTCTGTGTGATCCCGCCTCCCAAACTTGAGTCTGAGAACTATTGCACTGCTCCTCCTGTGAAGATGAAACCTAACACAGCCAGGTCTGAAGGAGAAAGCAGGCATGGCCAGGGGCTCACGGGAACTCCTCTGCTATTGATGGCTGAGGGGCACAGTGCCTAGGCGTTGGCACTTCACTCTGCACCTGGGCAGGGCTCCCCATCTCTCCAGGGCTATTCTGTCCTCACATCAAACTGTGGGAAGTGTTAGACCCAAACCTTAATATCGATATCCCACTTCGTGGAAATGGCAGAAACAATACTTCCCAGTCACAATACAATAAAACTTGAAATTAACAAAAATCTATCTGGAAAATTTTTAATTATCCTTTTAATTCTTGAGCCAAAGAGAAAGTGCAAATTGAAAATTTAAGTATCTAGGAGATAACATCAATAATATATAACTTAAAATATATCAAAGCCCTGGCTGGGTAGCTCATCGTCCCAATGTGCCATGGTTCTGTGTTCGATCCCTGGTCAGAGCACATACAAGAATCAACTAATGAATGTATGATAAATGGAACAACAAATCAATGTTTTGCTCTTTTCCTCTCTATAAAATCAATAAAAATAAAATATAAAGTCTTAATTACATTAATAAATGGCAAAAAACAAAAGCTGAATTAAAAATTTATTAAATTAGAAAAAAATGTAAAGAAAGCAGAAATAATGAATTAACCAATACAAAATAAAAATAAAAGATTATGTTCCTATTAGAAGCAATAATAAAATTTTATACTTTGTTTCATCCCATCTTCTTTATTCCACCTAATTTTAATCAATGTATTATTAGTAGTTCTGCAAGTGATTTTATCTATACTTTTGAATATATTTCTGTCTCTGTAATTTGACTTATTAGATGTAAATGTTATCTTTTGACTGTGAATAAGAAAATCAACACTCTTTTGCCACATGCCATCTTCTTACATGTCCCCTCCTTGAGTTTTATTACTTTTACTAGCATCTATATATATAAAATCCTAAGTGACTGGAACGACTGGTCACTATGACATGCACTGAGCACCAGAGGATAGATGCTCAATGTAGGAGCTGCCCCCTAGTGGTCAATGCGCTTTCACAGTCAACCTACTCCCCTCCCCCACTTCCTCCTCTCCCCACTCCCCCAGCCGGCCAACCTCCCTCGGTCTCTCCCCCTGGCTGGCAGACCCCAGGCTGGGATGGGGAACTGGGAGTGGGTGGCAGCAGATGAGGCCCCTTTCCCGGGGGGGCCAAGAGCCGGCTCCCTCCTCAGGGCTGGTGGCTAACCTCCCATGCCCTGTCCCTCTCTCCCTCTCCCAGCTGGCAGGCCCCGATTGGCCTGCTGCCCACCCACTACATGGCAGCATGGCAGCAAAGAAGAGGAGAGGGGGAGGCGGGGAACTGCGCAGTGGTGGGGCGCAGTGGTGGCAGCATCGGCATCTGGCATTCATTCCATTTGTTACTGGCCGGCAACCATCACCTCCTCTCCAGCCTGACCCTGATCAGCCTGGCCCCAGTCGGCCCTGGTCTCTGGCCAGGCCTGGGGACTCCACCGTGCATGAATTTCGGGCACCGGGCCTCTAGTAGTTTATAATATCAACATTCTGAACAATATACAGTAGTGCTAAAGAGAATGAGCTGTGTGACCTTGAGAAAGTTACTTAACATATATTTCTGTTTTTTTTATTTTTACCATAGGTATAACAACAGGTTCAATGGACATAATAGGGGGTTGTTGTCATGATAATAAAAGAACAGTGCCTGACACATTGTAAGCATCTATTAACTATCATCTATTGTAGGAATAATTATCAAGAAATAGGTTCCCAGAGTTGTTTTAATCCCAGTCCAACATTTCAACTGGCTTTCATGTTTAGTTTCTCCATTCATCTCTTGGTTGCCTGAAATTCATTCTCTAATGGTTCAAGAGATGCTATTGTATGTTATATTTTCTGGTCCTTACGTGTCTAAAAGCATTTGATGCCTTTTACTTGAAAAAAAAGTTTGGCTACGTAAAATAACTTGCTATTACTGAGCACTTATTATCTGTTGAAGTCTTATTTTAAACCTTTTCATTAAGTCCTTTGAATTCACAATAACATTTGTTCTGCTGAAGCTGGTTTGGCTCAGTGGATAGAGGGTCGACCTGTGGACTGAAGGTTTCCAGGTTCGATTCCGGTCAAGAGCATGTACATTGGCTGCGGGCACATCCCCGGTAGGGGGTGTGCAAGAGGCAGCTGGTCAATGTTTCTCTCTCGTCGATGTTTCTAGCTCTCTATCCCTCTACCTTCCTCTCTGTGAAAAATCAATAAAATACATAGAAAAAAAATAAAATAATAATATTTGTTCTGCTTCATGACATTTTCTGGAAATTTTATTTATCTGACACTTGCTTTTCCTATTCCTTTCCTCTTTATCTTGTATATTTGCTATACAAGCCTCGTATTTGTTTTCTTTTGATTGTTACTCGCTACTGAATATTATAGGAAGCAACTGGGGCAGTGAACTGAGCCTGTGGTGAAGCTGCTGTGCCCACAGTGTGTGTGTGTGTGTGTGTGTGTGTGTGTGTGTGTGTGTGAAGGAGAGACAGAGAGACGCTCACTCAGACTGGTTAAGCCTGCATATCTCCCTGACAATTACAAGCTGCTCATGATATACATAGTTTTTTTCCAGCCCGTTTCATTAACAGACTACCTCCAACATAGATAACATTTTTAAGGATTTTCCCATTCAGCACTGCCTTGCCCTGACACTTTATGATGCCAGACAGAGTCCTTGGATGTTCCCACAGCTGTGTCCCTTACACCCTCAGTGCAGACCAGGGCGATGGTTCTTCTCCTCAGATGTACCTCCTGTGCAGTGTTTTGCCAGCTTTGTCTGAGAATTGAGGTCAGAGCAGGTATTTAATCTCAGCATGTGTCTGGACTCTGGTGTAATTTTCACTGAATTTGGCAGGCCATCTCATTTATTGTGTCTTAGGGTTACATTGGCACTTTATTTTATCAAAGGTAGAGCTTGCATTTCTTTTTTTAATTTTATTCCTTTTCCCCCTTTTTGTTGAATTGATTTGGGTGGCACCAGTTAACAAAATTCTACAGGTCTCAGGTGCTCGATTCTAGAACACATCATCTGTACCCTGTACTGTGTGTTCACACCCCACGTTTATTTCTTATTTTTGGATGATGTCAAGAATGACAGAGTTAACTTTATTTTGTTATTTTAAAACATTTTTGTAATTTAAACTTTATTTTAAAACCATAGAGCTATATTTTTTAAATATATTTTATTGGTTTTTTTACAGAGAAGAAGGGAGAGGGAAAGAGAGTTAGAAACATTGATGAGAGAGAAACATCCATCAGCTTCCTCCTGCACACACCCTCCTGGGGATGTGCTAGCATCCAAGGTACATGCCCTTGACTGGAATCTAACATGGGATCCTTGAGTCCCCAGACTGATGCTTTCTATTCACTGAGCCAAACCAGTTAGAGCACCAGAGAGCTATTTTTAAAAAGAGAGTTCCCCTGTTCTTGGGGAAAGTAGCTACCATACCACCTTAGACCATGTTACCTGGAAAAATAGTTTCAAAATCCTATGCACACCCTAGTTGCAACAAGGTCTCTCAGCATAATAGAGCTAATAAAGAACAGACATGGATTCAAATCCAATACCAAGTTCTTTTTATTGAGGAGCCTTCTCTTAAAGAATATAAATATCTCTTTATGTTGTGTTCTTCTTGTGAACATTTTTCTATTAACTTCTTCTTTATTTCCTGTGTTTAGTGTGACAAGTACAAGAATGGAGTTATTGATGGGCCCGCGTGTAATAGCCTTTGTGTAACAGAAACTCTTTACTTTGGAAAATGCTTATCTACCAAGCCCAGCCATCAGGTATGGACATTATGAATAAACGTTACAGATGGCACACTCCAATTTTGCCTGAAACTAAAGGGTTATGAAAAGAATGACTGAATCAGAGCCTTAGGACATTTTATGTATTCCAGTTTTCTCTGCTTTGATCCACTCATCCCAGAGATGTTTATTGATGCCCTGTTCCCGGTATATTCCAGCCACTGTTTTGGTTACTAGGACTACAGCAGTGATTGAGATAGGTAGGATTACTTCCTTTATGGATCTTACATAATCCCAGAGGGGTGGGGAATATAAATAGTTGGTAGATAAATAGGTAATTACAGGATGTGGTGTGTTTTATAAGGATATACACAGGGCCAACTGGTGGAGAATGCAGGGGGCGGGGGTGTGCTTTAGAGGAGGTGATCAGAGAGACCTTTCTAACACTTGAGCTCACACCTGAATGAAAAACTAAACCACAGGCATAGGCGAAGGACAGGATGAACTAAAGCCACAAAAGAAGCACTATGACTAACTGATAAACATGCTGAAAAAAACTCTCTACCTCACTTACCATCAAAGGAATATAAATTAGAACAGTAGAATACTATTAGGCTGGAAGAAACTATAACGAACATCAACACTGGTTAACCTTGGGTAGAGGAATATTACATGATTTTTAAGGCCATCTTTTCTTTATATTATTTTGTAACTTCCAATGTAAATTTCTGTAATTACTCTTATAGAAATTTAAAATATATTTTAAGTTGATGCTAACAATGTTTAAGAGAATTTCTGAAGCAAAGTCTAACATTTGAATATCTACCACATGATACGAACTGTTTAAGACTTTGGGTGAGACCTTGGAGAATAAGACACGTAAAGCTTCTGGCCTCCTGTGCCTTATGTTTCATGTGAGAGAAGAGCTAATAAATGAGTCAGTAAATGAACAAATAAGGTCATTTTAAGACAGTGCTAAAAGCCGTGAAGAAAAATAGGGTGATGGGTAAGAGAATGAAGAGGATCTCTTCTACAGGGTATTAGGTAATACCAGGGTGATATCCAGCATCTAGAAGGGTTTAGGAATCTGGAGAAGGCACTGCATGTAAATTAATAAAGAGACTAGAAATATAATATAAATTTGTAATCCATGGGGGAGCCAGAGGAGGGCTTACCTTCAGTAACCAAATTCTTTGAATCTCTGGACCCCTTGCTCTTTATTAACACAAATTGCCCTAAAGCAAAGCATATATATATATATATATATATATATATATATATATATATATATCAAAGGTTAAGGTTTAGAATACAATAGGCATTGTCAGATTGGGGGAACTGCCTTTGGCATGTAATAGCCTTTGGCTGTTCAGGTGTGTGTTTTTTATTTTTTTATTTTATTTTATTGATTTTTTACAGAGAGGAAGGGAGAGAGATAGAGAGTTAGAAACATCGATGAGAGTCATCTATCAGCTGCCTCCTGCACGCCCCCTACTGGGGACGTGCCCGCAACCAGTGTACATGCCCTTGACCGGAATCGAACCTGGGCCCCTTCAGTCCTCAGGCCGACGCTCTATCCACTGAGCCAAACCGGTCTTGGCTGTTCAGGTATTTAACATTAGATTAAAATGCCTTTAGCTGTTGGCAACAGGCAATAATTTATGCAAATCTTTAGGTGAGGAAATGCTTTTTGGCCACTCAGAAGGGAATATGTTTCTTCAGCCCTGCTGAAGCCTCAAGGTTTCATCAGCCTTTTGATGAAACTTATCACATTTATGACCTGCTGGAATTAGCCTCCCGCAGTTAGAGAAGGCCTGTCTAAGGTGACATAGGAGCTGCGACTTGAATATGTGAAGACAACTGTATGAAGATCTCTGAGAGTTCATTCGAAGCAGAAGCAACAGCAAACAAAGCTGGGCATGAAACAGGAATAAAGTTGATAGGCTTAAGGAAGAGAAAGACCAGTGTAGCAGGGATATAGGGACCCAGGGGTAAGTGGTAAGACCAGACTAGGGGAAAAGGCCAGGCCAGTTCTTATGGAGTCAAACAGGCAATGGAAAGGACTTTGGATTTTATTCAAATTGAATTAGAGGACCTAAAGCAAGGGAGTAATCTGCTTTGTTTGGATTAATGTTATTACTATATAATTAATTTAACCCTGCTTGTCTTTTATATATAAGCAAGAGTAGTCTGCCTGGGTGGGCTCAAATGCTGGCTTCGGCATGGTAGGTCACATAGTGGTGTTACTTTCACATCACTGCTTCAGTTTTCCATCAGTAAATTGAGAATAATAATAGTATCTACTTTATAGTATTGTTATAAGGAATAAAATAATAAAATAAATTCATAGACTAGAGCACATAGAAAGTGCATATAATGTTAGTTTGATAAGTAGCTAGATAGTAGTGACTAATTTGAGGGTATGGGGTTAAGAAAATGAACATAGGAAAATTTTGCCTTTCATCCTTTTATGTAATTTGACTTTTTAAAAATTTATTTATAGCTATAAATGCTCACATTAAGAAACAAGAAAGGCTAACTGGACCTTAGCCCTCACCCAACCAATCAGGTCAGCCAAAGCAGTGACATCACCACCTTTATGAAACACCTGGACTTGTGGAAGTTCGCTCTCTTGTCCGTCATGCTGTCGGCGTGAGTGGGACAGAGCCCATGCTAGCTTGGAATTCAGGCTCCCTGGTGGTCCTTGGGGATCATGTTCTGGGCACAACACTTCCTTTTTTTTTTAATGCCTTTCTCCTTACAGTATGTTCAGAGAGAAAGTAAATTGTATATTTAACATTAAAAAAAAAAAAAGAGCCGAAATATATATTGAAGAAAAAAAAAAGGAAACAAGAAAGGTCTCAAATAAACGACCTAATCTATAACTTAAGGAACTGGGGGGGGGGGGGGACTAAACTCAAAGCTAGCAAAAGGAAATAAATATTATTATTATTATTTTTATTGATTTTACACAGAGAGGAATTGAGAGGGATAGAGAGTTAGAAACGCCGATGAGAGAGAAACATCGACCAGCTGCCTCCTGCACACCCCCCACCAGGGATGTGCCCGCAACCAAGGTACGTGCCCTTGACCGGAATCGAACCCGGGACCTTTCGGTCCACAGGCCGACGCTCTAACCGGTCTCGGCAGAAAATAAATAATACAGATTGTAGCACAGATAAAAGAAAGATAATAGAAAAAAAACAAAAGAAAATGTCAATGAAGCCAAAAGTTGGTTCTTTGAAAATATAAACTTTTAGCTAGATGGTCTAAGAAAAAAGAGGGAAAACTCAAATTGCTAAAATTAGAAATGAAGTGGGGACATTATTACTGATTCTACAGAAATAAAAAAGATTATATGAGTACTAGGAACAATTGAACACCAACAAATTGGATAACTTAGATGAATTGGGGACATTGCTAGAAACACAAAATAGAAAATCTGAATAGAACTACATATACCCAGTAAGGAGATTGAATCAGTAACCAGAAGTCTCCTAACAAGAAAAGGACTTGTTGTTTCACTGGTGAATTCTATCAAACATTTAAAGAACTATCATCAGCTGAAACCGGTTTGGCTCAGCGGTAGAGTGTTGGTCTGTGAACTGAAAGGTCCCAGGTTCGATTCTGGTCAAGGGCATGTACATTGGTTGTGGGCACATCCCCGGTAGGGGGTGTGCAGGAGGCAGCTGATCGATGATTCTCTCTCATTGATGTTTCTAACTCTCTATCCCTCTCTCCTCCTCTCTGTAAAAAAATCAATAAAATATATATTTTTTAAAAGAACTATCATCAATCCACTTCAAACTTTTCTAAAAAAAACTGAAGAGGAAGGAATACTTTTTAACTCATTCTGTGAGGCCAGAATTATCAAAGACACTATAAGAAAATTACAGACCAATATCCCTTTCAAACACTGTTGTGAAATCCTCAACAAAATACTAGAAAACCAAATTCAGCAGTGAATTACAAGGATCATACAGTCCTGGCTGGGTGGCTCAGGTGGTTTGAACATCATCCCATACACCAAAAGGTTATCAGTTCAATATCTGGTCAAGACTCATACATAGTTGCAGGTTCAATTCCCAGTCCTTTGGATGCCCATGGGAGGCAACTGATTGATATTTCTCTGATTCATCTCTCTGTCTCTCTCTCTCTCTGTCTGTCTCTCTCTCTCTCTCTCTCTGTCTCTCTCTCTCTATCTCTTTCTGTGTGTGTGTGTCTCTCTCTGTCTCTCTCTCAAAAAGTCAGTGAACATATATCCTCTCTCAAAAAGTCAGTGAACATATATCCTCGGGTGAGGATAAAAATAAATAATAATAATAAAGAGATCATAGTGATCATGCATCCTGATGAAGTGGGGGTTTATTCCTGGAATGTGAGGATGTTTCAACATAGGAAAATCGATCAGTGTAATACACCACGTTAACAGAAAGAAGGAAAAAAGAAAAGGATCATCTTGATTGATGCAGAACAAGTTTTTGTCAAAATTCAGTACCCTTTCATGATAAGAATAATCAGCAAATTAGGAATAGAAGGCAACTACCTTAAAGTAGTAAAACCCATATGAAAACAACACCCACAGCTTAACACGTTAAGCACACAGCCTGTTTTGTCTTCGGGACGAAAAGTAAAGTGTCAGGCACCAGTGACTGACAGAGCGCTTAACGTGTTAATGGTGAAAGACTGAAAACTTTTCCTCTAAGATCAGGAACAAGATTAGGATCCCCACTTTTGCCACTTCTATTCATCAAAACACTGGAATTTCTGGCCACTAGCCAGATCAGTTAGACAAGAAATAAAAGGCATCCAAATTGGAAAGGAAGAAGTAGAATCTTGACAGATTCTATGATCTGATTAAAAAAAAAAAAAAAAAAAAACACCACAAAACACTAAAGATTCCACACACAAAAATTATTAGCACTAATAAGTGAGTTCAGCAAAGTAGCATGAAACAAAATCAACACCCAAATGTCAGTTGCATTTCTATACACTAACAATGGCCAAAGCAAAAAGAAAACTAAGGAAACCATTCTACTTACAATAACATCCAAAAGAATACTTAGTAATTAATTTAACCAGGGAGGTAAAAGACTTGTACAATGAAAACTTCTGAAATAAAGACATAAGTAAATGGAACACATCCCATGTACATGGGTCGGAATACTAAATATTGTTAATTTGTTAATATTACCCAAGGAATCTACAAAGTCAGTGCAACCCCTATCAGAGTCCCAATGACTTTGTGTTTGTTAATACTCACCTAAGGATATATATTTCCATTGATTTTTAGAGAGAGTGGAAAGGAATGGAACGAGAGAGAAAGAAACATTGATGTGAGAGAGACATCAATTGGTTGCTTCCTACACCCACCCTGAGCAGGGCCAGGGATAAAATCTTCAACCCATGCCCTTGACCTGGAATCAAACCCATGATCTCTCTAACCACTGAATCACGCTGGCCAGAGCCCAATGACAATTTTTGCAGAAATAGAAAAACCCCTCCTAAAATTAATATGGCATCTCAAGGAACCCTTAATAGCCAAAGCAATCTTGAAAAAAAAAAAAAAAAAGTACAACCTGGAGGACTCTCATTTGTTATTTCAAATTTTACTATAAAGCTACAATAATTAAAACAGTAATACTGAAATGATGATCAACATATAAATCAACGGAATAGAATATAGAACTCAGAAAAAGCCCTCACGTTTATAACAGGATGATTTTTGACAAGTGTGCTAAGACCATTCAATAGGAAAGGACTATCTTTTCAACAAATGATGCTGGGGAAACTGAATATCCACCTGCAAAAGAATGAAGTTGGATCCTTAGCTAATATCATATGCAAAATTACAAAATGGATCAAAGGTATAGATGTAAGATCTAAAACTATAAAACTTTTAGATGAAAACTTAGGGTAAAAACTTCATGACATTGGACTTGGCAATGATTTCTTGAGTAGGACACCAAAAGGAACAGGCAACAAAAGTAAAAATAGACAAAGTTGGCTTCCTGAAAATTTTTGTATTTTGTGCATCAAAAAACAGTATCAGCCCTGGCTGATTTGGCTCAGTTGATGGAGCATTGGCCTGTGGACTGAAGGGTCCTGGATTCAGTTTCAGTCAAGGGCACATGTCTAGGTTGCAGACTTAATCCCCAATAGGGGGTATGCAGCAAGCAGCCAATCAGTGATTCTCTGTTATCATTGATGTTTCTATCTCTCTCTCCCTCTCCCTTCTTCTCTGAAATCAATAAAAAATGTTAAAAATAAAAATAAAAATAAAAGACAGTATCAGAAAAAGGCAATCCACAAAATTAGAGAAAATTTATAAATTATATACCTAATAAGGGATTAATGTCCAGAATCTGTAGAGAACTCCTAAAAAACAACAAAAAAAACAACCAACCAGATTTAAAAATGGGCAAAGGACTTAGATATTTCACACACACACACACACACACACACACACACACACACACAAAAGACATACAAATAGCCAATAAATACATGAAAAGATGCACAGCATCACTGATCATTAGGGAAATGCAAATTAAAACCACAATTAAATACTGCCTCTTAGCAATTAAGATGGCTACTATAAAAAAAAAAAAAAAACAGCAAATTTGAACCATTGTGCACTGATGGTGGGAATGTAAAATGGTACAAGCCACTGCCTAAAACAGTATGACAGTTCCTCAAAAATATAAAAATAGATTGACCTTATGATCCAGCAGTTCCACTTCTGGGTATATATCTAAAAGGATTGCGAGCAGGGGTTATTTTAGAGATATTTCACACCATGTTCAGGTCAACATAATTCACAATAGCAAAAACATGGAAGCAATCCAAATGCTCATTGGCAGATGAATGGAAATGCAAAATATAATGTATTAGTAATAGAATATTATTCAACTTAAAAAGGAAGAAAATCCGAACACATGCTACAATATGTACATAATGCTAAGTGAAATAAACCAGTCACAAATAGACAAATTCTGTGTGATTCCATTTATATGAGAGAGTAGTCAAAAATCATAAAGACAAAGTTTCTACTTTCTACCTTTCTAGGTGACAGGGGCTGGGAAGAAAGAAGTAAGAATGAATTATTGTTTAATGGCATAGAGTTTCTATTTTACAAAATGAAGACTTCTAAACAGGATGATGGTGATGGTAGCACAACTTCATTAATGTATACCACGGATCTGTAAACTAAAAATGGTTAAGACGGCAAATATTATGTTTTTATAATTTTTCCACAATAAAAAATAGAAAAATAAAATTGATGATCATGGTTGGAAAATACATATTTAGGCAAACATTACTTCTGTAATTTAAAAAATTAAGAGGAAAAATATTCAGAGTATGATTTCTAATTTTCAGTTTAAAAAGGAAGTCACAGTCTCAGTATTTGTATGTGTGTGTTTTTAGAGGAGGACACTAAAAATATAGTGATAATTTCCTACTTAGCCTAACTTGCCATTCTTTTTCACATAGATGTATTTAGGGATTTGGGATAATCTACCAGGGGTTGTGAAATGTCAAATGGAACAAGCACTTCATCTTGATTTTGGAACTGAATTGGAACCAAGAAAAGAAATAGTGTTATTTGATAAACCAACGAGGGGAACTACTGTACAGAAATTCAAAGAAATGGTCTACAGTCTCTTTAAAGTAAGTATATCTATTCGCATGTTGCTAGTGTGAATCAGTACACTCTTCTGATTGCCAGGAATTGCCAGGACCTCATTCTAAACCACAAGAATGTTGTTATTCTTTGACCTGTATTAGGACTCCTGAGAGAAATAATTCAAAGAAAAGAAAAAATGTGTGGAAGATATTTACTTATAAGCTAAAAATGTCCAGATATGAGAGGGGAGTTCTATAGTTTGACATTGTAGCTGATACATTTTGAAAAGATTAAATAAAACCAGTGCAACCTGATTTGCAAATTATTTTTTTAATTTTAAAGAAATGCTCAGAGATTAATTAGAAGTATTAAAAGATGAAAACAATTACACTTTTAGAAAGAATCTTTTTATAGTTACCACTCATAATTTTTCTCTGAGAGCTTACATTTCCAAATTATTTTATCTCAAGAAACCTTTCAGGGAAATACATTTTTTACCTTCATTATTAGAATAATGTAACTTAAAATAATTACATTAATGTGATAACTACAAAAAATAATTTTCTGTTGACCCTTCTTATAATTGGATATGAGCACATTACACTGCAATTTTGCAAGTAAATGTATGAATAAGGCCAAGAATAATTAGTGTCTTAGTTAACTATTTATGCAGAGTGTAAGAGGGTTATGGGACTGAGGGTGGCCATTTCTTCATAAACTTAGCCAAGTTTTATTGCATTTTCATAAAATATAGTTCTGACTCATTTAGCATCATAGTAGCAAAACTATTACTTAGCATGATTATCTCCATAAAGGAAGTTAGTAATTTTTTCATTTACTAACGTCTTAATCTTTATAGGCAAAATTGGGTGACCAGGGAAACCTCTCTGAACTGGTTAATCTCATCTTGACGGTGGCTGATGGAGACAAAGACGGCCAGGTTTCCTTGGGAGAAGCAAAGTCAGCATGGGCACTTCTTCAATTAAATGAGTTTCTTCTCATGGTGATACTTCAAGATAAGGAACATACCCCCAAATTAATGGGATTCTGTGGCGATCTCTATGTAATGGAAAGTGTCGAATATACCTCTCTTTATGGAATAAGCCTTCCATGGGTCATTGAACTTTTTATTCCATCTGGGTTCAGAAGAAGCATGGATCAGTTGTTCACACCATCGTGGCCCAGAAAGGCTAAAATAGCCATAGGACTTCTCGAGTTTGTGGAAGATGTTTTCCACGGCCCCTATGGAAACTTCCTCATGTGCGATACTAGTGCCAAAAACCTCGGATATAATGATAAGTATGATTTGAAAATGGTGGACATGAGAAAAATTGTGCCAGAGACAAACCTGAAAGAACTTATAAAGGATCGTCACTGTGAGTCTGATTTGGACTGTGTCTATGGCACAGATTGTCGAACTAGCTGTGATCAGAGTACAATGAAGTGTACTTCAGAAGTGATACAACCGAACTTGGCAAAAGCCTGTCAGTTACTCAAAGACTACCTATTGCGTGGTGCTCCAAGTGAAATTCGTGAAGAGTTAGAAAAGCAACTTTATTCTTGTATTGCTCTCAAAGTCACAGCAAATCAAATGGAAATGGAACATTCTTTGATACTAAATAACCTAAAAACATTACTGTGGAAGAAAATTTCCTACACAAATGACTCTTAGTTCATTTGGACATTGTGACCATTGTGGGAAACTTACCACTTAGGAAAGTTTAAGCATTTTTAAAAAATGGCTTCTGATCAAAATCCCTGCCAGTACAAAGCTCATTTCCCGTTCCTAAGAAGCCATCATCTTAAAACACACGTCTATTGCTGAATGACAGGAGATCCCCCCCAAATGTAATTCCTGCTTTCAGAATTCCCGGTACATTTCCCAGTAAATTCACTGTGTATCTATTTTGACTGACTTAAAATAATGCTGTGAAGCCTCATTCCAGATATCAACAGTGAGATTGTTTTGTAGATTTGTTAGCCAAAATACCACTGCTGGAAACATTGTTTGCATTGAAGCTGCTGTTTAAAATTTATACACAAATTTACTAATGTCTTAGCATGGTCAAGTTTGCACATTAACAGAAAGAAGACTGCAAAGCAGATAAATTAAAATTACTGATTTATAAATAGATGTTAATAGTATGTTTTGTTGTATTATGGCTTAAACCCATTTTAACTCAGACATCATACTTTATGTGGCTTCAGAGCCCGTTTTTTTGTTTTCACAGAAGGATGTTTTTAGGGAGTAGAAGGCAAACTTCAAATGTGAGAAACATGATTGGTTGCCTCCTGCACACACCCCGACCTGGACCTGGGCCTGGAAAAGCCTGCAACCTAAGTAATTGCCCCTGACCAGAATGGAACCTGGGACCCAACAGGCTGATGCTCTATCCACTGAGACATATAGTGTTTTACTTAGCAACATGTAATTGACATGAAAATGGATGAGCTTTCCACCTAACATTCAAATGGTCCATATCTTGGTATCAGCCTGCCAACTTAAGGCCACAGACCCTCTCCAGATCCATTTACCTTAAATTTGTCATGAAGGCATTAACCTGTTAACCAAGCGGGACCTATAAATACGCCAAACGTAAACAATATCGGGAACCGATAGGACGTATGAATACGTCCTTGAAATAAATGTTGCGCCCTGAGAGGGACGGTATATATTTTTTGTAATCTTTTTTTTTTTAATATTTTGATTTTTTACAGAGAGGAAAGGGGAGGGTTAGAGTTAGAAATATCAATGAGAAACATCTATCAGCTGCCTCTTGCACACCCCCCACTGGGGATGTGCCAGCAACCAAGGTACATGCCCTTGACCGGAATCGAACCCGGGACCTTTAGGTCCGAAGACTGATGCTCTATCCACTGAGCCAAACCGGTTTCGGCTATTTTTTGTAATCTTTATCGTTTGTAAAATTTATAATTTTTTAATTCGACGTGTCCATTTTTTCTTTTTGTCGGTATTCTTTTCTATTTTTTTTTTTGTAATTTTGTATTTTCCTTTGTGCTTTATATAAAAATACATATATATATTTCATTTATTTTCATTAAGTATAAATTTATTTTTTTTTTTTTTTTAAATATATTTTATTGATTTTTAACAGAGAGAAAGGGAGAGAAATAGAGAGCCAGAAACGTCGATGAGAGAGAAACATTGACCAGCTGCCTCTCGCACACCCCCCACCGGGGATGTGCCCGCAACCAAGGTACATGCCCTTGACCGGAATCGAACCTGGGACCTTTCAGTCTGCAGACCGATGCTCCACCACTGAGCCAAACCAGCTTCGGCTTTATATAAAAATACATATATATATTTCATTTATTTTCATTAAGTATAAATTTAAAAAAATATGAAATTACATCCTCCGGGCGTGACGTACTGACGTCCTAGTGAGAGTCCGCGCCCATTACAGGTTGTGTCATTAAAAAGGGAACTCCCCGGTTAACAGGTTAAAAGGACTCTGAAATCAGAACTTAACTTGACACTTTCAAACAAATGACCAAAGGGCTATTTTTAGAGGCACATAAATTTATTCATCAATCATTTTCTCATATAAACTAAATATATAAAAATTTGCTCCTCTCTTTTATTCAGATCTGGCCACGTACCCTTCAACATCTCCATAAAATTATCTTTTAGAGAGAAGACCCAGTATTTTCTGCTCAAAGATTTATTCTGATTCAAGTATCTTAGCTATGTGACCTTCATCTGTCAGCTTCCTTTCAAAAATTAAACCCACAGATTAACACGTTTTGATTACTTAAAAATTACATACTTTGAAGGTACCGTTCTTCCTATTAATCATCTGGTTACAATGAAAGAAATATTTCCTAGTGGAAGGCTGGTATGTTGCTTGTCAGACTTGAGAACAGAAGCCCAAACGGCAGGTGTGAGAAGATACGCAAGACATCTTTTTCTGGAAAAATCTATACTTGTTTCTTGAGGAAAAATATTGCCAATTTCAGGGTATTTCCTACAGTTTCATTAACAAGAGCTCAACACAGAAATAGCTGTTTGCTTAATATGTTTATTGTCTCTGAAAAATCATAGAAAATTGTGATTTGGTTATTAGCTCTCAGCAGCCCGTTCCTGAGCTCTGAGGAAGCTTGCTTTCTTCTGAGCTACCCGATCTTTCTTCTGGGCAAGAGACATTTTGGGACGGTTCCACCTACAAAACAAGAGAGACAGAAATGTTATCTTAAAAATACAGCTAAAGAGGACAGAGATTTGTTTTATTTGTAGTAAGATTTCCAATACAAGCACTTATTATTTTAGGCTAATTTTCCCAACCCTCAACTTGTGATACTGTCCTATTACCACACAGTGCCAAAAAGCAAATAAGCAGGTGTTTATTTGATGTTTAGTTACACTGTACTAGGATAGAATGAACCACCTCAGTAGCTTCTGAGGCTAAAACATTTCTATCACCACAATTACTTTAGCAAACCTGGTTCCCTTCACTTCTGCAACATCATGCAGAGTTAGTGATCGAGTTTGCACTTAAGATGAAACAAGGCAAGTTTGGAACCATTCCTAACCTCTCTTTCTTGAAAAGAAAACAGTAAGATGCATACCTCTTCTTTTTAACTTCTTTCTTAGGCTTCTTTTCATAGACTGGATTCTCTCGTATAGCAGTATGAGCTTTCTTATACATCTCCTCCATCTGAAACAAAGCAAAGCAAACAGTACTTGGTTTCATTTCCTATGCCCTAAACAATAATGTAACATACCGTAATCTATTACTTACTCTATTTTGTCTTTCTAAGCCGGATTCTCAAAAGGCACTAAACTAGGTCAGTGTCTATATCTACTTAAACTTCTAAATGTAATCTAAATTTATTTTCCTAAGAAATCCCAACCCTCCACCCCCCTTTTTTTTTTTTTTTTTTTTTTTTTTACCATAGGTAATATGAGTTGACATTATACACAAAACTCAACTCAACTTTTTAATACATTTTTAGTGATTTCGGAGAGGTCAGAGAGGGAGAGGAAGAGAAACATCTATGAGAATCCTTGACTAGTTTGCATCCTGCACGCCCCACACTGAGGATTAAGCCTGAAACCTGGGCAAGTGCCCTGACTAGAAACTGAACAGTAACCTCCTGGTTCAGTCAAAGCTCAACCACTGTGCAATGCAGGCCCAGCTCAACTTTTTCTTGAAGAGAAATTTGCATGTATTTCTGAGGACTTCGGGTATAGTTTGTAAGTCATTCAAAGTTTAGAGCAAAATGATTTCTGTACAAACACATTTTATGCTCATTTAAAATGCTGTCTGACCTAAATCTTTTCACTGAAGTGAGGATAGTTTATGGGGGACTTGACTATCGTAGTTGGCTCGATTGGTTGGAGCATCATCTTCTATACTAAAAAAGTTCAAGAGTCAACTGTAAATGACTTGATTCTATGCAAAACCACTCATGAAAGAGCAGATATAAAATAACTGAGTACTCATTATCAAAATATAATAAAAATTACAGCCCCATAAAGAATGTGGAGAGAACATGATTACTACACGCATTTGTGGAAACCAATGCAAAACTTGGTCACTATGTAAGACCTCAACCACCTAAATCCCTTTTGAAAGTTAATTTCTCTACCTCTTTTAGCAGTCTAATACAGTTCTCCACTGTATTTAACAAACCCATTTGATGACTTCACTTGTAATTAAAAAAAAAAAAATCTAAGCAGCCCAGTTTATTTTTTTCAAAAGATTAGACGAGCAAGAAATACAACCATTTTTGTAGACAACACCATGAATTTAGGTAAAGACCACTTCTTGTTTTAGACTTGTCAGATGTCTGCATAGGACTTGGTATGCACTCATAGGAAAGATACCTTCATAAATAAAATTAATGAGCAAGTGCCCTAGCTGGTTTGGCTTAGTGGATAGAGCGTCGGCCTGCAGACTAAAGGTCCCAGGTTCGATTCTGGTCAAGGGCATGTACCGTAATTGGGGGTACATCCCCAGTAGGGAGCGTGCAGGAGGCAACTGATCAATGTTTCTTATTGATGTTTCTAACTCTCTATACCTCTCATTTCCTCTCTGTAAAAAAATAAATAAATAAATAAATAAATAAATAAAATATATCTAAAAAAATTTAATGAGCAAGTTGGAAAGTACATTAGACAAAGAGTGGTCCTGGATGAAGCATGAAATCGACATAGGAAAAAGATACCTGAAAACAGACTGTTTGAAAAGTCTCAAGTCATATGTAACATGACCAGAGCAAGAAATGATTTACGGGGAAAATAATTCTGCAGGTTGCCCTAGCCGGTTTGGATCAGTGAATAAGAACACTGACTTGCAGACTGAAGGGTCCAACGTTCAATTCAGGTCAAGGGCACATGCCTAGATTGTAGGCTTGATCCCACTAGGGGGTGTGCAAGAGGCAGCTGATCAATGATTCACTCTCTTCATTAATATTTCTCTCTCTTCCTCTCTAAAATAAAAATAAAAAAAAATTTTAATTGAAGGTCAGGTAGAATCAGTAGAAGGTCAAGGAGTGAACAAGGATGGTATCAATAATAAGGGAATATACTCATGTATAAATACATGCACCTACATAGCTAATATAAAACTATCTTTTTCCTAGTTCAAAACTCAACCTAGCCCTAGCTGGTGTGCCTATGGTCCAGTATTCGATTCTGATCAAGGGCACATGCCCAGGTTGCAGGCTCCATCCCCAGGAGGGGGTGTGCAGGAAACAGGCAATCAACTATTATCTCATCATTGATGTTTCTCTCTTCCTCTCTGAAACCAATAAAAATATATTAAAAAACCAAACTCAACCTATGTGCTTAACCAGCCCTACATTGTGTAGAAAGCACACAAAGTAATCTTTTCCCAATAAAATTATATTTTAAAAAGCCAAAGCTATATCAAAGAAAAAAAATCTAACAATTTCTTAATATAACCCACCTATTTTATATATAAATCTGTATTTGTGATAGTTTTATAATACTCAGCATAATATTTTTGTTGTTGTTAATCCTCACCTAAGGATATTTTCCCCCTTGATTTTTAGAGAGAGGGAGAAAGGAAGGGAGGGAAGAGAGAAACATCAATTTGAGAGAGAAACATCAATTAGCTGGCTCCTGCACATACCCTGAACAGGGCTGGGGATGAACCTGCAACCCAGACACATGCCTTTGAACTGGAATTGAACTCTTGACCTTTTGGTAAGACGGGCTGACCATCTTAACCATTAGCCATGCCAGCCAGGGTCTAGTGTTAGTGTGATTTCTGTGTTCTATGCTTTCACTACAATTTCAAAACTGGCGCTATCATAAATTACTCCAATGCATTAATAGAGCTCTGGAGACACAATTAAGAGTGATCAATTCTCTTGCTGGGACCGGTTTGGCTCAATGGATAGAGCGTCGGCTTGGGGACTGAAGGGTCCCGGGTTCGATTCCGGTCAAGAGCATGTACCTTGGTTGCGGGCATATCCCCAGTAGGGGGTGTGCAAGAGGCAGCTGATCCGATGACTCTCTCATCGATGTTTCTAACTCTCTCTCTCCTTTCCTCTCTGTATAAAATCAATTTAAAAAAAAAATAAATATATATATATATATATATATATATATATATATATATAAAAAAAAAGAGTGATCAATTCTCCAACATTAAACTCACTTTTGCAAACATTGTTCCCTTTAATTCAGCATCACACAGAACTAAGGTTAAAATCTATACATCTCACCCTAGCCATTTTGGCTCAGTGGATACAGCATCAGCCTGGGGGTTGAAGGGTCATGGGTTTGATTCCGGTTAAGGGCACATGCCCCGGTTACAGGCTCGATGCCCACAAAGGGGTATGCAGGAGGCAGCCAATCAGTGATTCTCATTGATATTTCTCTCTCTCTGAAATCAATAAAAAAAATCTGTACATCTGTGTGTGTGCCTGAGACATTCAGAAAGTCCAGAACATAGCACTTATTTGCTATGAAGAAAGCACCTTTCTTCTCCATTGTCTCAAAAGGAATGAAGTTTAGTAAATAGCATCTCCTACCAGAGTGGGTAGATTCCTATGAAATCTAGAAATACAGAACAGCCAAACTCAATAAAAGCCACCACAGATTTAGATTACGATACTTAAAACCTGCCATCCTTCAGCATCTAAGATTCCTAAAAACATACTGACAAGTCTAGCTCATACTATCTTATCCTTCAGCCTACCCGGTGTTTAACATCCCAATCTCATTTTAAGCCAAGGACAGCTTATACAATTCTGTCTGTACCTACGAACATGCCCATATTAAACTCTTAACTGTTAACCTGAAATAAAACTAAATAATTATAATGTATCCATAAAAAAAACAAGCAGTAAACCTAGTTCCATAAATGAACCATACATTCATGTTTAGTTAAAAATTTTTACCATGTCTGGGGTTACGTTGTTCTTTATATACTGAGAGAACTGTTTCTTGTAAGCATCTTCATCTTCTTCCATTAGATAACGCATATAATCTGCAACGTTCTGACCCATGATGTGCTTCCGATGTACTTCCGCATTGAATTCCTTGCTTTCTGAATCGTACCCAGGGAATCGTTTGGTACTAAAATAAAGTTTTTCACATTTCAGTATATGTTGATTTAAATCCGTTCACTAGCAGGAATTTATTTTATAGCTGCCATCAGTCCCGTCTTGAAACAATTAATTGCATCATATGCAACCGAAGGACCAACTACTGACTGCTCAGTCAGTGGGATATCATCATTCAGCAGCTAATTTCTCAATTTCAGATTAGAAAATCATAGCATAGTACCTTTACAAACCACTAAATTACGGGTGTCGAACTCAATCAGAGAAGGGGCCAAAATCTAAAATCCAGCCTAAATCGAGGGCCGAATGGTTTACTGAACAGTCATAAACTGTCATTGTGATGGAAACGCAGCGGAGTGCAGTGATGACAGCGTGGTGCGGGCCACATTGCAAGGCCTGGAGGGACGGATTTGGCCCTTGGGCCTTGTGTTTGACACATGTGCACTAAATGAACCAAGGCATTTCACCACCATAAAGTTAGTTCTCATCATAAAAAAGGATTTCAAAACTGCTCCCCCCAAATCCTAGAATTTCTTAGTGGTGCCTCAGGGTACATGGGAGTGATTCATTCCACGTCACACAGATGCCCTCTAACATAACTACAGATACTCAAAAATCACACATAAAAGCTAG